GCCCCCCCAGCTCTGTGCAGCCCCCCAACTCCCTGCCCCCACAGCCCTCCCCATCTTCTTGGGCCCCCCCAGCATTACCGATCCCCCCGGGCCCTGCCAGGCCCCCCCGTACCGTGCGAAGCCCACCCCCCGGCTGGCCCCGTGGGGGTCCCGCAGGATGCGGGTGGAGACCACCTGCCCAAAGGGCTTCAGCAGCGCCTCCAGCTCCTGCTCGTCCACGCCCAGCGGCAGGTTCGAGATGTACAGGTTGGTGGGGTCCTGCTCCTGTTGCTGTGGGGAGGGGTCAGGGGGCTGCCTGGGCTCGTGGGGGGGTCACGGGGGGCTCTGGGGGTCGGGGGGGGAGGTCCATACCTTGGCCATCTGCGCCTGGACCCCGCTGGCCTTCAGCGCCGTGACGGCCTTTTGGGCGGCTGTGGGGCTGTCAAAGTCCACAAAACCATAGCCTGGGGAGGGGGGAGAGGTCAGAGAGACCCTCCAGAGCACCCCCCGGACCCCCCCTCCACCCCTGCTGCCCCCCAACCTTTGCACTTGTTGGTTGTCTTGTCCAGGATGGCTTTGGTGGAGACGATCTTCCCATAGCTGGGGGGGTGGAAAAGGGGGAGTCAGAGCTCAGTGGGACCCCCAGCCCTCCCTGGGGGGCTCTGGGGGGGGGGAAAGGGCAGGACCCCAGCCCCCAGCCCCACTCACGGCTGGCAGAGCTTGACCAGGTCCTGGTCTGTGGTGCCGGGGTGCAGCCCCCGGATGTAGAGGTTGGTCTTGCTGAGCTGGTCCGGGGCCCCCCCGGCGGGGCTGGGGCTGGGGGGTCCCAGGGGCTGTGCCGGGGGCACATAGGGCTGCTGGGGGGGTGGGAGGGGGTCAGGACCCACCGCAGCTCTGCTGCAGCCCCCCCAAAATCCTCCCCCTCAAGGAGCCAGCGCGGATGTGGGGAGGGGCTGCCAGAGTGGGGGTCTGCCCATCCCGGGGGGCTGCACCCCCGGGAACCCCCCCGCCGCTCCCGGGGACTCCCGAGGCAGCGGAAACCTCCGGGCTGATGTCAATGTGCAAACGTGAATCAGCCGGACCCCCCCGGACCCCCGGGAACGCCGTCACCTCTCCCAGGACCCCTGAACCCCACCATTTCCCCCCGACCCCATTATCTCACCCCCAGACCCCATCTCTCCCCGCCGGGGTCCCCATCATCCCCCCAACCCTCCCATCCTCCTCCCCCGGGGGTCCCCATCTCTCCTCCCTCCCTCGGGACCCCCAGACCCGTCCCTCCCTCCCCAGGCTCCCCAATTTCCTCTCCAGCGGGGCTCCCCTCAACCCATTTGGGGGTCCCCATGTCCCCCCACCCCGGGACCCCTGCACCCCGTTACCGCCCCCCTCCAGGGTCCCTGTCATCCCCCTGTCCCGGGGTCCCCATCACCCCCACAGGGGTGTCCCTGTCGCCTGCCCCCCGCCCCAAGTGCCACCCCCACGTCCCCCCCCAGCTCCCGGTATCCCCCCCAAATCCCGGCCGTGCTGCAGCTCGGGGTGTCCCC